CGTGTGCTGCTCATGGACAACGGGTCGATCGTCGGCGACGGCACGTACGAGTCGCTCAAGTCGACGTTCCCGCACCTGATGAACTTCACCGAGCACAAGTCGGCCGAGCCGTCCGACGACGAAGGCGACAACGATGATGTGCAAGACGCAGCCAAGGACGAAAAGAAGGCGGGCAAGGAGACGGCAGGCGGCAAGCCCGCGGCGCTCGAGAAGGTCGGACCCAACGGCAACGGCGGGCTCATGTCGAAAGAAGACCGTGGCAAGGGCGCGGTGACCATGGGCACGTACAAGATGTACTTTGGTGCGAGCGGGTTCAACGGCTACGTGGTCGGCTTTTCGATCCTCGCCTTCTTCACGCTCGCGCAGACGTCGCTTGCGCTCACGGATTGGTTTATGAGCTACTGGGCCAACACGTCGTGGATGAACACCAGTGTTCGCTACGGCTGGGTGTACGTTGGCATCGCGCTTCTCTCGTGCCTCCTCACGTACGGCCGGTCGCTCTACGTGCTCTTCATTGCGATCCTCTGCTCCAAGTCTCTCCACGCAATGCTCTTCAAGAAGGTTGTCAACGCGCCCGTCCCGACCTTCTTTGACATTACGCCCATGGGTCGGATCCTCAACCGGTTCTCGAGCGACTTGGACCAAGTCGACTCGATGCTGCCGTACATGGGCCTCCTCTTCCTCCAGTTCCTCTTCCAGGCGATTGCCGTCCTCGCCGTGTGCATGGTCACAACGCCGTGGATCCTCGTCGTCTACGCGCCGCTCTCGTTTCTCTTCTACAAGATCCAGCAGTACTACAACAAGAGCGCGGGCGAGCTCAAGCGTATGGACGGTATCGCGCGGTCGCCCGTCGTGACGCTTGTCCAAGAGACGGTCTCGGGCCTCTCGACCATCCGCGCCTTCAGCATGGCCGACGCTTTCCTCCGCAAGCAGCGCGACGCTGTCGACAACTATGTGAGCTTCTCGTTTGCGTACATGTGCGCGGGCCGCTGGTTCCAGATGCGCCTCGACTGGCTCAGTTCGGCCATCATCGCAGGCGTCGCCTTCATTGCCGTCTTTGGGAAGGACTCGATCGGACTCGTTGCTGCCGGTCTCTCGCTCACGTACGCGACGCAGATCTGGACGATCCTCTCCCGCGTCGCGACCTTTATGACGATGATCGAGAACATCATGACGTCGGTCGAGCGCCTCGGCCA